GAGAGAAGAGCAGCTGTCTTACTCAGGTCTGCTGCTTGGGATGTGACTGTGTGAGGAATGGATCCACCTAGATACTGCAGCTGTTTCTTGAAAACAGGATAGATCTTGGGAACAGTTGGCGTAATGGCTATGTCGCTGAACTCCCATGTAGTCGACCGCGGTTTGAGTCCCGGACCCGGAGGCTTAAACTCACACTGGGCACATGTGCATGCGTGCTCAAGATCCTGAGAGGAGAACGGAGAAGGGATTGTGGCGTGGTCCTCCCCCCTGAGGGGTGATTTCTTGCTTTCTGTCTGTGTTTCTCTGTTGTTCTGGTGAGCGCACACTCCCTATAGCAAAAACCTCCCCACCCACCCTCCCCCCCCCAAAAAAAATGAAAAATAGGATAGGTACAAATTGCAGAAACAGTTTGCATTTTGACACCACAATGAGGGATAATATGTGTGTGTAGTTAATTGTTTTCTCTTTGTGGCTGAGAAATGTGGGTTTTAGAGGGAGTTCACATTCATCACAAGGGGTTCTCCTGACACCATCATACCATGGTGGTATCCTGTGTCTGTTAAAACAGCCCAACCAGAGTCTTTATAGCTCCCTCACTGGTTCTCTCTGCCTTAGTACCCTCGCTTGGAAAAGCACTGTTGTTTTTTTGTTGCTGTTTGCTAAAGAAGGAGAGCACTCAGTGGATGAGTTGGGTTAAAGGAAAAAAAATTATGGTGATGAGGTGGATGTTTGTATATGCATGTTCAATAACATGAAAGTTCTAAATTTACTCTAAACAATGCTAACATTAAATAACTACTGATTACCTTTAATATGTATGATGTTATGGTCATAGAGGTAAAAAAAATCTTCTCTTTTATAACATGTATAGGTAGGTTGAAAATATTGGTAAGTTTCTTGTCCTCTCTAGTGTCATCATACCTATTATCACTACGTTTGAAAAACTAATACCACATCTTACAGATTTCAGGGATGCCCCTTCACTTTTTAAATTAATGGCAGTTCATCTCCCAACAGTGTCTACATCTGGCTTTAGCTTTAATTTCCTGCGTGTTAAAACAGAAATAAGAAATGGCATTGGGACCAGCAGGTGTCATGGTGGCTAAGGTGCTGGACACTCCCACATGGCCAGCCATGGTTTGAATCCCAGATCTGGTGGCTTGCTTTCCCACTTTCCCTCTTATTTCTCTCTCTCTTTTTCTTTGTCCAGTCAAATTAAAATAAATGAATGAATAAATAAAATTGAACAAATCATTCTTTAAGAGAAAGAAATGGCATTAAATAGAGCCTGTGGAACTACTCTAGTTCAATGCTGCTTAGATTGATATTAATATATTTATTTCCTTTTTTAAAAAAATCCTTTTTTAAATAATGAGAGGAGGTAGTTTTTATGCCATTAAGTTTTAAGAAACTCGTGTTTTATCTAATTGGCAGAAATATTAAACAACGTTTTTGGTAGAAGTTTCATATTCCCTCTATTTTACATATTGTAGTATGACCTAATTCAGTGGTTCCTTCTGTTTGCTTCCTGGTGATTTGATGCCCTTCTCAAATACCAGGGACAGGTCTAGCTTGCCCTGTGGTGGCTTCATGTGAATTTTACTGGGCAGGATGGCTGGCATCAAGAGGGCTTCCTGTGCCTCAGGTTGGTGAATTAAGATGTGGCATGGGCAGAGAGCAGCTTATTTGCATTCTTCATAGTTTTTCTCTATTTCTTTGCCTCTTTGGTCCTTACTGTGATTCATTCATCCTTTGTAGGCCAGATGGGACTTATTTCCTGACTCCTCTCTGGAAGCTTTAGTAGCTCTGTTGTAGGTGATGTTACATGTGGTGGATTTGAGTGTGCGCTGATGGTTTCCGAGTTCCGGGGGTATATCCCAGCTCTGTCTGTCGCTGGCCAATTAGCTGTGATATTATGTGTGATACTTAATTTCCCTGTTCCTCCTTTTGTGCACCTGTCACATGTAGATCGTAAAAATCATCTTTGCAGCTGATTGTCGGAAGTGATAATCAAAATAGGTGAAAGCACTGCACAAATTGACAAAGACCACAGATTGCAGCCAGACAGCTCAAGCACGATTTCCAGCTTTGCTGCTGATTTTTTTTCTTGCCATAGGGTACATGTGCTCGCTAGAGGGAGACAATAGACAATGAGAAGGAAAGTGAGAAATGAGCCCCCACTGGGGAGAATGGTAATCAATTGTTCTCCATTCTCTTCTTGGGGTTTTGAGCTTGCATGCATACACACCTGGTGTGATTTTCAAGCTGCCAGGTTCAGGACTAAAACTGCTGTCAGCTGTGTAGGAGTCCACCGTGCCCTTAACCACTGTGCTGTCTTCTGGCATCCAGCTTTGCTTCTCAAAAGTGTTGAAGCTCGGGAACCAGCAGTTAGCGTAATGGCTATGTCGCTGGGCTCCCACGTAGTCGACCGCGGTTCGGGTCCCGGACCCGGTGGCTTAAAGCTCACGCCGGGCGCGTGTGCGTGCGTGCCCAGGATGGCTATGTCGCTGGGCTCCCACGTAGTCGACCGCGGTTCGGGTCCCGGACCCGGTGGCTTAAAGCTCACGCCGGGCGCGTGTGCGTGCGTGCCCAGGATGGCTATGTCGCTGGGCTCCCACGTAGTCGACCGCGGTTCGGGTCCCGGACCCGGTGGCTTAAAGCTCACGCCGGGCGCGTGTGCGTGCGTGCCCAGGATCCCGCGAGGAGAATGGAGGAGAAGGGATTGCGGCGTGACCATCCCCCCTGGGGGGTGATTTCTCGCTTTCTATCTCTCTGTCTCTCTCTGTCTGTCTGGCGAGCGCACAAGCCCTACAGTGAAAATCTCTCCAAAAAAAAAAAAAAAAGTGTTGAAGCTCAGCGATTCTAAAGCTGTATCGAAAGTCCTGTGTTCACATCCCAGGGTCTCTGTGTAATCACCAAAAGCTTATCACATGCATGTGGTCATGGTTGGCTGAGGATTGCAGTATGAAGAGCCTCTTGGGGGGGTGGTGTTCTTGTCTCTCTGTCTCTACCTCTTTCTATTTCTCTCTTGGAAGAAATAAATGAACTTTAAGAAAAGGCAATGTTGGGACCAGCAGTTAGTGTAATGGCTATACTGCTTGACTCTCACATAGTCAATTGTCGTTTGAGTCCTGGGCCCGGTGGCTTAAACTCACTCTGGGTGCATGCGTGTGTGTGTATGTGTGTGCCCATGATCCTGAGAGGAGAATGGAGGAGAAGGGATTGTGGTGTGGCCATCCCCCTGGGGGGGGGTGATTTCTTGCTTTCTGTCTCTTTCTGGTGAGTGCACATGCCCTATAGCAAAAACCTCTAAAAAAAATTTTTTTTTTTAAAAAAGCAATGTGACTTGGGGCCAGCAGGTGGCATATTGGTTAAGATGCTGGACTCCCATATGGCCAACCTGGTGACTTGAAGATCATGCCAGGTGTGTGTGCATGCATACTCAAAATCCCAGGAGGAGAATGGAAGAGATAAGACTGCAGAGTGGCCATCTCCCGTAGGGGGTGATAGGGGGTGATTTTTCACTTTCCCTCTCACTGCTTCTCCCTGATGAGCACCCTATGGGAAAAAAAGTAAAAAACAAAACAAAACTATGTGACCTTGTGATCATAAGTTCTCAGCCTCTCTGTGCTTTTAATTTCTTTCTTTCTTTCATTCTTTCTTTTTTTTGGGAGAGATTTTTGCTATAGGGCGTGTGCGCTCGCCAGACAGAGAGAGACAGAGAGATAGAAAGCGAGAAATCACCCCCCCAGGGGGGATGGCCACCCCGCAATCCCTTCTCCTCCATTCTCCTCTTGGGATCTTGGGCACGCACGCACATGCACCTGGCGTGAGTTCTAAGCCACCCGGTTCGGGACGTGAACCGCGGTCGACTACGTGAGAGTCCAGCGACATAGCCATTATGTTAATTGCTGGTCCCTGCTTTTAATTTCTTTCTCTGTAAAATGAGGGTAATATCTAACTCACAAGACTGATTATTAATGGTAACTAAATGAGTCAGTATTTTTAAAGTAAAGTACTTGAAACAAGGTTTGCCACATAGGAGACTTTTAAGTAAATATTATGACATCATCTTTTAAATTTTTATTTATTTACTTAAATGCTTTTAAAAAATAATTACTTGGGCCCAGTAGTTAGCATAATGGCTATGTCGCTGAACTCCCATGTAGCCACCCACGCAGTTCAAGACCCAGTGGCTTAAGCTCGTGCCAGGCACATGTGTGTGCATGCCCAAGATCCCAAGAGGAGAATGGAGAAGGGATTGTGGCGTGGCCATTCCCCCTGGGGGGTGATTTCTCGCTTTCTATCTTTCTTTCTCTGTCTTTCTCGAGAGTGCATGCGCCCCGTAGCAAAAACCTCTCCAAAAAAAAAAAAAATTTTAACTTTATTTATTACTACTTTTTTCTTTTTTTATTTGACTGGTGTGTGTGTGTGGGGGGGAGAGTGGGGGGACAAGAAAGCAAGCTGCCAGGTCTGGGATGTGAATTGCAATTGGGCATGTGGGAGTCCATCAGTTAACCAGAATACCAACTGCTGGCCCCTGTATTTTGTTTTTTAAGACAGCCTCTTGCTGTGTCATCATCTTTTTGCCTCAGCCTCTTAAAGGTGCTGGGACACAGGTGTGTACTGCCATGCCTGGCTCTTCTAGGTGGGGCCTCCTTATGTGGCCCACACTGGCTGTGAGCTAGCTCATGGTCTCCCTGCCTTGGCCTCTTGAGTGGCTGGGATTGCAGATGCATACCATGATCCCCACCTTTAAATGTGCATCAAGGCCTGATCCAGGCCTTCCACATGGCCTCAGTCAGTTAGGTAGTAATGTGAGCCAGGCCCTGCTACAGCAGCTGGGCCTGTATTTTTTGTACTGTTGGTGTTGTCGTCCGCTGTTCTGTGGATGGCATGTAGGCAGTACCCAGTAAGTGACAGATTTCAGTATTGTCCTCGTTTACAAGTGAAGACATTGAGATTCGGGATGGTGAAATGGTGTTTTCTTTGTTTCACAGGTAGAACTGGGGCGCCTTTGCATCTTCCAGTTACAAATTGAGTGCCTTTCTCAGCTTCCCCAGAGTTCCTCAGGAGTAACAGAAGGGAGGTAATTATTACAAAATTTTGTATAGAAAATGAATAATAAAAATACTATCACCTTTTGGAGTTTGTTGTATTTTGACACATACTGTACATTGGTTTGCAGAAGATGAGTATAGCCTTTATTATGACTAATATTTCTTTTTTTTTATAGTTTATTTTTTATTATAATTTTTTTTCCCATCACAACACGCAAATGAATTTTCCATCCAAAATACACTGTGCATTGGCTCAATCAAGCACGTCAAC